CTAAAAGTTGTTTTCTTCAGACTGCTCAGAATTTCACCACTAGAGGTGGAGCTTAGTTAGGGCGGTTTGTTTTAAATTACTGGCAGTACAGTAATAGATTCTTGTGAGATTAAAAAGTACCGATTCAGCTCAAGTCCCCATTGATGCTTCAAAGCCAAATCCCAGTTCCCCTCCTGAGGCAAACTGATGAATTGGTGTGCCCTCCTGCCAGAGCTTTCTCTGAGCACTTGCGTCTCATAGTACGGGGTAGGCACAAGTAGGATGACAGTTCTGCATGTGTGAAACAGTTTTTTCTTGTATTATTATTTATTAATTTTTGTATTATTTGTTTGTATTACCATTGTAAACCTACTTTCCCCCACCCCTATATATATGGAAATATGTGGTTTTTTTTTTAGCAGGGGTAGGAAAAGTAAGAGATAATACTTTTGGATTAAAAACTCCTGAAGGGGAATTGTGACTGTTAGGACAGGGAAAGGAGAGCTAATAGGGGAAAGGTGTTGAGCCTGAGTGAAAGCAAGGCCCCTCTTCTCATCTCAGTCCAGTTAGCAGAGGATTCCAGCTCCATCCTTTGGAACTGGCCCTGCTCTGATAGCCTGGGGGACTCGGGGCTATTCATATGTAAATATGAGAAAGCCTAGGGGAATTTTAGGGGCTTGCAGTGCATTCCAGAGCTCCGGGAAGATTTTTCTCAGCCTGCTAACTCTTTGATGCACCCGACACCGCGTCACCCTTTTGGTGCTGCAGGTACCTCCGGGGTTGCTGGAGTCCACACAAAAGCAGGTAGAATGGTCAGCCTCCTTCTCGCTCAAGTGCAGCTTGGGACCAAGCCTAGAATTCCAAGATTTTCCTTATCAAAGACTGAGCCAACTTCCAGAGCAAGGGAAGAAGTGAGTGGCTTTTCTCTTTAACTCGAAAGTGTGGTTGCGAGAGCTGTGGGAAGCTGCGGCAGGCCGAATTCCTTTCCTAGCACACTGAGGAATGAGCCTGGTGATAAAAGACTAACCTGAGGAGGTGGGGGTATCTTGAGAAAGAGTGGAGTTGGGGTTGGGGGTAGGGGCTGGAAAAGTGGACAAAAGGAAAAAAAACCCACCACGAATTGTTTGATCACCGCAAGTAAATTTGTGCGCTCAGCCCCAGCCCCTTAACACCTGCAGGGCCCCCCAGGAATTGGAAAGTAGGACTAGTCTGCACTCTTTATTAATAGGCTGGTGCTGGGCCACAGCTTCCCCCTGTGCTTCCTCACCCCCAGATTTCATTGTTCTTAAAGAAAAGTAGAATTGACGGTGTCTGGACAGAGCATTTCCACTTGGTGCATTTTACCTTAACCTGGTGCAGACAGCGTCCTCCGGCCCGTCGTGGGAAAGGACTGATGTGGTGTGGAGATGTTACCTTGTTCAGTTCCCTCAACAATTTTACAAAGCAGGTGCTCTTATCCTCCCTTTACAGAGGAGGAAACTGTGGCCCAGAGGTAAAGACGGACTTTCCCCAGCTGGAGAGTGGGGAAGTGCAAGATTCTAAGATTTGTCTCCAGAGCAGCTGGCTGAGGTTAGAGGCTCCCTTCTAGCTCTTGGTTGTCCCCGATACTAAAACTGTAGATCAAGCTTTTTTTCTTAGAATATATTTGGAATAATGGAAAAACAGTCTTACATTAGGAGTCTTTTCAAGCCAGGTATTTCTAGTGTGACTGAATTTTTAAGTTTAATTAATATATGTGTGGAGCCTGCAGGTCACCTGCCTCTTCAGAAACACCTAGGGTTTTGTTAAAATTGCAGATACCCGGGTCCCACCCAGATTTGTTGAATCAGAAGCTCAAGAGTGGTGTCTGGGAAACTGCAATTTAACAAAAACATCCCACAGGGGTTTTAATCATGCTAAAGTGTGTTTAGTTTGGTTTTTTAAAGGCTGTGCAAGAATTTATAAATTCACCTGCCCAAAAAAGGCATGCTGGTAGTTTAGAAGAATTGTTAACATTTCTTTTTCTTTCTTTTGATACAAATAAAAATCTTGTTGAGTCTCTTAATGTAAGTTGCTGGCTTCTGACTGATGAGTACTTGCTGGTGTTTTATGCTTTCAACTACTATAATAAATAGAACTTTGATTTCTGGGAGATAATAGTTTCCAGGACATTTTTAAGATTTGAAGCAAATAAGTTCCTGACCTTTTCTAGTTGAGATACCAGGGTAGGGAGGCAAAATGGTGCAGGATTAAATACATAGGATTTGGATTTAAATATATTTAGATTCAAATTCCAAACTGCCATTTACTCACTATATAACCCGGGACAAGTTGGTCAGCCTCTCAAAGCCTAGGTTTTCTTATCTATCAAGCGGCGTGAATATGAAATGAGTTCAGGGACCTAGTAAAGTGCATGGCACATAGTGAGAATTCAATAAATGTTTTCCTTTCCAGAGCTTTTTAGTCCTGTATTAAAGGTGTTTGTTTTACAAATACTGAATCATCACCTGTACACCTGAAACTAACACAATGTTTTATGTCATTTATACCTCAGAAAAATAAAATAAATAAAAATGATTTTCTGTTCTCAACTTACCACTTATGAAACCATCTTTGGGACTGAGATTCTATTGCTTTGAAATGGCAAAGAATTTAAAATAAGGCTATTGAAAATAAATTTTACATACACTACAATTAATTAGAATTATAATTTAGCACTCTGAAATAAGAGTTATGTTTGAAATTTTGTCATTCTACCAAAAATAAGTTCAAGAAAGACATTTTGTCTTTATATCTTTTTAAACTTTATTTTGAATAATATCGAATTTACAGACAATTGTTAGAGTACAAGGAACCTCTGTGTATTCTTTATTCAGATCCACCAGTGTTTAACATTTTGCCCTGCTTTTGTGTTCATTTTCTCTTCATGTGTGTGTACACACACACACACACACACACACACACACACAGGGTTTTTATTCTAACTGTTGAGAGTAAAGTCGCATATATCATGTCCCTTACTAATAGCTTCAGTGTTTATTTTGTATGAACATGGATATTCTCATACATGATCACTTAGATTTGCCATTTCAGGACATTTTTAACTGATTTTAATCATTAATATAATCTATAGTTCATAGTACAATTTATCAATTGCCCTATAACATCCTTTGTAGCGATTCCACCCCCGCCCCCCAGGTCAGGATCCAGTTCAGAATCACACATTACATCTGTTTGTCATCTCTTCAGCTGTCTTGATTGAGGACAATCCCTCGGGCTTTCTTTGTCTTTCCCGATATGACATTTTGAAGAATACAAACCCTTGATTTGGGTTTGTCTGATGTTTCCTCAAGGTACCTTTCAGATTATGCATTTTTGACTGGGATACTTCATCAGGGATATTGTGTTGTTTCCAGATATGACATATGGAAACACATGATGTCTATTTGTCCCTTATTGGTAATTTGAATTTTGATTACTCAGTTATAGTATTATCTACTTCTCCACTACATGGTCACTATTTTTCATTTTTATAATAAGTGATTTGTAACAACTAATTCAAAACTGCAAATACCTGGATTATCATCAAACCCCACCATTATTTTTTCTATATTTATTCTACCATAAGAGCTTTTTTCTCTCTCTCATTTATTTATGTACTTACATTTTATCAATATGAGCTCATGGATTCTTATTTTATTCAATAGATCATAATCTAATCCTGTGTTTGTTTATTTTGATACTCAAATTGTACCAGATTTGGCCAGTGGGAGCCCCTGTGAACATGACCCCCTCATTTTGCTGAGCATTTCCTTTCTACCGTAAGATGTTTCAGGCTCGTTTATATCTGCTCTGCCCAGCCCTGGAATTAGCTATTTCTCCATAGAACTTCGGTTCCTTTTAGTGGAGAATGGTTTTTAGAAACCAGAATCTGGACTGCACTTTATCAACATAGGAATTCCTAAATTCTTAGAGAACGGGCAGCAGGGAAGATTTTTGGAGACTGAAATCTGCTGTAAAAGCCTATTTTTCGTAAGTAGTTTGAATACTTGTATTTTGCATCTTAAGGCTGGGGAAAAAAATTCTAATTATACTGAGACTTACTAATATATTTACTAACTAAATCTGTAGTTGTTTTAAGTGGATCTTAAGGAATGTTAAATACACAGCAGAAATTGCTTCATTGTTGAAATTTTTTAAATTGTTCATCTTAGTATTTAATGTTCATTCGAATGAACAAATGCCATCTCATCTATATAAATAACACTCATCATGTGTATCTAAGTAACAGGTAAATGAAAAAGCTAATAACAAGATGCATATTTGTTTTCATTTTTAGATCATGCAGTGTGGGTCCTATAAAGGTTCTAATTAAAAATACCATTAAAAGACTTCATGCTTATAGTACATTTACATCTTCTAGGACATTTGAAGTAACAGAACCTGCTTGTGAGGCTTCATTAATATTTTGATAAGGAGACTCTAAATAATGTTTGCATATTTCATTATATAGTAATGTAAATCCACCATCACATGACTGGAACATAGTGAGTCCTGCAGTCACCCAGATCTCAGACGGATAATTTCTGCCTAATTCTTGTCTTTCCCGTATTTGGCATTATTATGTTCCCCCTAATATTCTTTTTAATGTGCTATATCAATGTTTTTAACTTCCAGCTTGGTATTTCTGCTGCTGAGATCATGGAATAGATTTTATACCTAATTAAATGAAAGAAATTCTTAATGTGAACAGCAGCTTTTTCAACCTCTTTGCCAAGGAAGTTGTGGACACTGATTTGTCCTCATAAAATGGGCCAGCTGCTCTTTTTTAGGACAAATTCTAAAAATGGTATCGCACAGAGGGGAGTTCTAAGCTCTTCATCTGCTCATGATTAGAACTGATGTGTGGGATCAGATTTCCTGCTTGTTGGCAATTGCGAGGCCTTTGGTTCTCAAGGACTGTGTTCCTTTCAGATCAAACTGTTGAAGAGTCCTGTTTTAGCACACACAGAGATGCTGACCAGTTCTCTTTTCCCTTCTAGAAATGACGCTCCTCTCCTCCCAGTCCTCATCTCCTGTTGCCGCTTCTGGGTCTGTATCCACTGAAAACCCAGAGCAGAGGATGCTGGAGAAGAGAACCAAGGTGGTGGAAGAGCTTCATCAGACAGAACGAGACTACATTCGGGACCTGGAAATGTGCATTGAGCGGATCATGGTTCCCCTGCAGCAGGCACAGGTGGGAGCTATGGGAGCAAGTTAGCTTTACCTTGAATGTGGTTCTCGAAGCCTGAAGTATCAGAATATGGGAACTTTCACCACAGAGGTTTATTGGGTTTGAAGTAAAGGCTATGGCTGCTGCTCTTAATTCAAGGGTCCCAACATACATGTGTCAACTTAAGCCATCAGCATCTCGTCACTTATCAAGTCCACTGTTAACTTATTGGACTTACTGCAGTAACACCCAGGACATTTCTGTTTATTTGGCTCCTGGAAACAGTACCAGGGAGTTTGGATTGTCACTACTAGAAAGGTTGTATAATAATATAATGAAGTCTGGAGATAATGGATTACTGGCTCTGGCACCTGATTTCATTGTACAGGGTTTATTCAGGAAACTCTTAACTATCATGTGCATATGTTAGGTTCTTTTCTAGATGCTAGAGATCAAAAAAGAGGTAACAGTTCCTGGGGGTTTACAGTCCTTATTGCTTGTTCCTTGACCACCTGAAGTGGGTTTGGGTCTGTATTCCTGGAGCAGTCACTTCCAAGAACTTCTGTAGGAAATGGACGGTGCCATCAGACTTTGGGTACTGGGTAGGAATATGTATCCCGGTGTAATTACAGACCAGGCCATTTCCCTAGTCATTTTACTAAGGTAGTAGGGGAGGAGACAGCGGAGAGGAGTTGGATCAGGACAAAGGGTGACACTAAAGCTAATGTTGGATGCTTCTATTCTGGAATCTTCATGAGAGCGAGTGAAGATGACCTTGAGCAATTTTTGTATCATCCTTGAAGAGGTGATTCTGATGCGAATGATACTATTAATTTCATTTCGTGCTTCTTTATGTTTTGTTTCCCTTTCTCAGATACCGAACATTGATTTTGAGGGACTTTTTGGAAATATGCAGATGGTAATAAAGGTCTCGAAGCAATTACTGGCCGATCTGGAAATCAGCGATGCTGTAGGTATGAGCTCCTGCCATTGTTTCAGAAGCAGTCTTTTTTTTTTAACTTCATGGGTAGAAGGCAGGAGGAGAAGGGCCTTGCTGGTGCTAAGGAATGAAGTTTTAGTTACTTAGTTCAGAGGTTATTTGGCCCTCAGCTTCTCCTTTTATCTGCAGCCAACTTTGAGGTGATAGAGGATGTTAGCAATAGAAGAAATTTTAGCTACCACTTATTACATTGTTTTTCAGACAGCCGGTTGCAACCCGATAGTGAATTATGAGTCAAATTAGTGGGTCGCACATAGTATATATATTTTAAATAAAATAGGAAATATCAGAACGTACTTTTCTTCTAATTTATTTTATTACCTGTATATTATGACAACAATAAAGTAGGAAATTAAAACAAAATATCCAGCCCAGCCAGTGTGCTCAGAGGTTTCAGAGTGGCCCTGAAGGTCAAGAAGACAGCAGCCCCTCTCCCACTCTGGTGCCTGCTGAGTTGCAGGATTAGACAGAAGTGAGGCTGCTAATGAGACAGGGCAGGATAGGTGTGATGTTTGAACAAAATCAAGTTTTAATCATGGGATTACATTTAATTTAAATAGGAACTGATCTGCACAAGACTAGGGAATTCCATAGGACACAACATAGAGGGAACAGAGGTGACGCTGTAGAGCAAGGGCTGAGGTTCCCTGAGGGAGGGGCTCATGCCCAGAGCAGCTGGGAGAAATAGTTGCAGGGGAAGCAGTGAGTGGGATCGTATTTTGAGAGAGGAGCACTGTTTAGGGGAGAACAGTACAGGCTGAAGAAGGAAGGACCAGATGTGTTGAGAGAAGGAAAGAAGGGTAAGAGAAAGAGTAGTTTTAACAGCAGCTCTAAATGAAATAGGAGCTATTCGTATGCCTAATTGGCTGTAGACCAGGGGTGTGTGGCTACATTTCAAGGAGTCCATGAACTTGGATCAAAAAAAAGAAATTACATCTTTATTTTCAGTAATTTCTAACTGAAATTTAGCATTTTTTAAGGTATGCATATAGGGAGCAAAGCACATATAGTTAGTAGTATCTCTGACTTTATCACCAACTGAAGTCACGTGTTTGTATCACATTAGGTTGTTGCAAATATCAAGCAGAAGCAACCAAGGTTACCAGTTTCTTATGTCATTCATCATACTTTGAAATTATGGTGATTATTATTATTAGAGTCACTGCTACATTTTGCTATTTAATGCTTTCTAAAAAGTACATGTTATTATATGTTTAGAGTTTTTATGTTATAGATATTTTAATTGAATAAATTTCATTTCAAGTCCTTAGTTTTTAATTTATGCATGGAGAGGAGGTTGGAAACGGCAGCTGTAGTAGGATCTCTTCATCCCTGTGGAGATTAGAGGATGGGGTCCTTACTGATTCTGATCATAAACCTATATGGAGAATATGTGCAAAGTCCTTACTCTGCCTGATTGAAAAGGGGCTGGAGACTGTTTCAGGGACCGGGTGTGTGTGTGTGTGTGTGTGTGTGTGTGTGTGTGTGTGTGTTGAAAAATCAGTACATGGATGACATGGTTCAGAATTTTAAGCTATTACATGGAAATTTCTTATTAATTTGATGGGTAGGTTACTGTTATTTCTTGTGATTGGATTTAACTGATATTAAAGTTTGCCTATATACCTTACATTTAGGATACTGAGAAGAAAGATACTAAAATCACTGTATGTCTGTGTCTGTTTCAAAGGATCTGTGTTTCTTGATCACCGGGATGAGCTTGAGGGAACATACAAAGTTTACTGCCAGAATCACGATGAGGCCATCTCACTGCTGGAAATCTATGAGAAGGATGAGAAGATCCAGAAGCATCTTCAGGACTCCTTGGCAGAGCTTAAGTAAGAGTTTTGACCACTTCAGTTCCACCATAGCTCTTTAGTTCTGCCTTTTGAACGTCACGCCCATGTGTATATCTAGACTTCTTATATCCATCCATCCACCTTATTTTAAACATAAAAGATATATTATCTTAAGTCTTATTAGGTAACTTGCCTTTCCCATCATATGTCATGGAAATCATAAGTGGTTTCCTGCTTATACTTTTATCCGTTTCAGTCACTTTTATCTATACATACAAAATATTAAGTTAGCATTTTCAGTAAGAAGTAGTCAGGAAGGTAGTTTGGTCCAAATAAACAAGCATGTAGGTAAGAAGAACAAATTCAGTTATTCTCCACCATCAGGTGAGATTCCCCTGGTCTTAGGGAGGCAGGTTAATGTTTATATCCAAGTAAATCAAAGTGAAGTTAGGGGCTTACTAACTTTTAAGGTAGACTAAGTATGCTACCATAGACATTCATAATTTCTCTTTTATCCCTTGGGATTTTGTCTGCCCTGCTAATGGGCATTAATGTTCAACTGATATGTTCCGAGAAGAATGTGAAAATCAGCGTGATCTCTAATCAGCTGTCTCTTTTCTTTTCATGCTCACTGCCCTGTAGGAGCCTGTACAACGAATGGTAAGTTGCCTCTTCACTTGCACAAACTCGTTTCTTTATTTTCTTCCTTTATAGACAGAAATCTAGAAGTAGATTTACCTTGCTATTTTTTCTCTATAGCGCTTACCACCAAATGGCAGGGCAGGGACTTTTTATGGTCACTATGAAATCCCCAGCATCTTGGAACAGTCCCTGGTATTTATTAGGTGTCCAGTAAACATGAATGAATGAAAGTGGAAGGTAGGATAAAAGAACAGAGCTCTATTTAGGAATAACAGATACTACCTGTAGGCCCTGTGTTGTTTATTGACAGTGGACTAAAGGCTCTGTTTTTCCTTCTCTTATAGGGGATGCACAAATTATATTAACCTGGGCTCCTTCCTCATCAAACCAGTACAGAGAGTAATGCGTTACCCACTGCTGCTAATGGAATTGCTGAATTCCACCCCAGAATCCCACTCGGATAAAGTGCCTTTAACCAACGCAGTCCTTGCAGTCAAGGAAATCAACGTTAACATTAATGAATATAAACGTCGAAAGGATCTGGGTAAGAAAAGCACACTTGCTACAAAGGACGTATGCCCTTGGGAGCGTGCTCCTTCTCCAAAGAATTCTTTCACCGGAGTTGGGCAAGGCAGATGGTAGGTTATAGGGTTGTGATGAAGAAGCGGTAGTAGAATTGGGGGGAAATGTGATATGAAGAAAGCGAGCAGTAGTAATAGAAGCATAACCATGGAATATTGGAAATAGACATCTCTGATAAAGCTTATAGCAGCAACAGTCTTTCCCAAGAGATAGGAGGACTGATTAGAAACTGGCTGATCAAGAGTTCCTTCAGGCATGAGTGATTGCCTTCTCAGCTCACAGACAGTCCTTTTCAATCCATGCTTAACATTTGTTTGTTCTGCATGTCTGGTTCGATATTTTACTGTCTCCACGTAAGTTAGGACTTTTAGTCTTCTCCCAGAAAAGCCCAATATGGCCACGTCTCTGGGTCCCATCAGTCCTGCCTATGCCCAGTAACCTGCCTCTCTGGTCTGAGCGTCTCCCTCCCCCTCCCCCTCCCCTTCCCAACACTGTACAGTCAGTTGCCAAACCACCCACTCTTCCTCTATAATGTAGAATGAACTGAACCATTTCTTTTTATCAAATGTCTTGTTGAGGTTCTGATTTGAACACTCAAGTAGTGTGGTGACCATGCTAAACTGACGCACTATTGATATCCTCAAAGAATCTATAATGCAGTATAACCTCTGCCTGTTCTCCACTCTTCTCCCCAATGTACCTAATACCATTTTCTCTGCCTCCTACTTCAACCATTCACCCACGTTCATATGTCATGTTGTTGCTCGTGGCCGTAAAAGCTTTCTGGCCACATAGTCAGTCCTCTGCCCTGGTTCCTATCTTCTGATGTAATGTCATCTTCATCTTCCACAATAATAAAGTGTGTCATTCTGCCGTCCCCCAACCTTCCCCTTGTGACCCTTCTACTGTGAGCTCCAGTGTTTTCTGCAGATTGTGCCCAATGTATGGCACAGTGGTTAATCAAATAACTCCTGGATAGCATTTTACTGTGTGAGATAATATGATATAACTATCTCAAATTTATGTGAGACCATTTAAGACAGTCTTATAAGGCAAGTACTGTTACTTTCTACATCTTATTGCAGAAAAATGAGTCTCAGAGAAGTTAAGTGACTTGTTTAAGGCCACACTTTGATGAAACGACAGACCCAGGCATTAAACTTTGAGGTTTCCTTGACTTCAAATCTTAGGCTCTTTTCCTTACACCTGCTACCTCTCCTCCTTGTTGCTAACCTTCTCCAGTCCAGGCAGTGTCTCTGCTGTTGAGTATGTTGTGATTTGTGTTGATAATTTGTCTTTACTCATTCTAGGCTTACTGAGATCAAGCACGAGCTCTAGTTTGCATTGTTAGTCTTGCTTTGTAGCTTGTTTTGTAGTCTCTTTGTGCTCAGGAAAGAGCTTTTTTAACTCACCAATTTGGCTCACTCCCTAGTCCTCAAGTACCGGAAGGGTGATGAAGATAGCCTCATGGAGAAAATTTCTAAACTGAACATCCACTCCATCATCAAGAAATCCAACCGAGTTAGCAGTCACCTGAAGCATCTCACTGGCTTCGCTCCACAGGTGAGGGCCCTGCAGTGGCAGGTTCAGCATGTCTTTGGCAGCTTTTCAGGGCTCCACAGACAGTGTGTATGGTGTCATTTGGCATGACCCCCTTTTAGTGCCTCCCCTAGTGTTTGCTGGCTGGTAGATACAAGACCCTGCAGCTACTGATGATGTCAGTCCATCTACCCAGCCCTCTATCCGTGGCCTGGTGAGCTGCCAGTGTGTACAATGGCAGATCAGCAGGCCAATAATTATTGTGGTTTTAGACACCCATAAGAAGCTTATAATTTATGTACAGAGACAAAATTAAAATTGCAGACCTATTAAGCTAGAAGGGATTTAAGAGCTTACTTAAATTCAATACCATATGTCACACATAAGGAAATGTGAAGTCTAGGGGATTGAGTGATTGGAAAAACAATCCACGGTCAGTGCTGAGGGTATAGCCAAAGTCTCCAGACGTCATTCACTGTGCCATGTGCACATGATACCAATAAGGGAAAATGCAGGCTAGAAAGAAGTCAGCTCTAAGTTTTGCAGTTTGTTCTCTATGTGCTGCAGTACCTAAGGAAACAGGAGCTCAGGGAGCATGAGCTTCATGTTGGCAAGAAATTTAATCTGAGCCTTAAAGGAAGAGGGCAGGTGGGCATAGGGAGAGAGGAGGGCATACCAGCCAAGGCAATAACACCGGGCAAAGGCACAGAATTAACAGATGTGGCAGGTGCCAGAGAGAGTGGTGGAGAGAGCAGCCTGACCGGAGCAAAGGGTCTTCATCAGGAACGGGGGCGGTAAGGTGTGAAGGTAGGGGGTCCTTATATATTTTAGATATCTCTCAAAGCCAAACAGAGGTGTTTAAATTAAATTTAGTATGATGCAGGGAAACATCAAAGGTTTAAAATGTAACCAAAAGGTGTTTTTAAGAAAGGTCCTTTTCCCAATAAGGTAGATTGAGGGAGAGTTCAAATCATCTAACAATACCTGTCTGTTTTGAACAGATAAAAGATGAAGCATTTGAAGAAACAGAAAAGAACTTCCGAATGCAAGAAAGACTGATCAAATCTTTTATCCGAGACCTGTCTCTCTACCTCCAGCACATCCGGGTGAGTGAGGACATCGCCCCGGTTAGGATCTCATACCCGGCCGTTTGGCCCACTTTCCTGTTCATCCAGCACATTGTTCAATGTTGAATAATCTGACTGTTATGCATGACGTACTTTTTATCGGGATTCCTAGAGGTTATTTAAAGGTTAAATAACCTTTAGAAGATCAGCACTGCTGTATTAATTTTAAGGTGATCTAGCTCTTTCCTCTCAGTCTCCCCACCACCTTTTTTACTCTCTCCTGTATCCAATTATCTAAGAAGCATTTATCACAGTTCATTTGTCAAAAACATTTTAAAGATAGAATAGTAAGAGAATAGTTCCTATAGAGGTCTTTCTAATAATTATATTCATTTCCAACTTACTTAGTTGCTCTTCAGAAGGCCTCTAAAGTTGTTCGAACCATGCCTGGGTCTGGAGAGCTGAAGGAGCTAAGGTCAGGCCCAGGCCACCCTCGCCTTGTCCCAGGACCGCGTTTCCTTCGTGAAGTCAGAACCAGGGCTAGAATGCTTTCTATTCATGTTTCTAATTTCTTTATTGATTTTATAGGATGGTGTGTATATATATATATATATGATATACACCTGTCACTCACACATGAAAATCTCATCCTATGAAACAAATTTCTTAAAAAGAGTTCCTTTGGTGGGGAGAGGAAGGGTTAAAAAAAAAAAAAAAAAAAAAAAGTCCTTTGCTTTAAAAAAAAACACCATTTTTTTAACTAAGTAGAATGGTATAAAATATAAAAGGTACCAAAGGGTAAGTAAAAAGTAAAAATAATGATTCCTCCTGCCCCTGTCTCCTAGTCATCTTCTGTAGAGGCGGGTGCCATTTATCTCTCCTATCGTGTGTGTGTGTGTGTGTGTTAGTTACATGTTGTTGAACATCTTAGGGTTTACACCTAATAGCATCATTTTGGAAGTCAGTGCCATACCTGTACACACAGAGCTTCTTGCTCTTTTCCTTTCTTTACAACTGCATAATATTTAATTGTATGGACATGCCATAATACATTTAACTAACCCCTATCGATAGTTATTTAAATTATAGTTGCAAAAGATTAGAAACATTGGCACAGGAAGTAGATATAAATTTTCTGATCTATATGAGTATATCTGAAAGCCTAGAGAACTAGGTTTTATGGGCCAAATCATGACAGTGTAAATTTTACTAGATATTGTTAATGTATGTGTAAAATATGAACTAATGTATGAAATGGTTTCCCCATCCCTTACTGACACACAGTGTTATCAAAATTAAAATATCTTATCTTGGTCTGAAAGATAGGTAAGAACATGCTATTTTAATATAGTTTAAATTTTCACTTCTTTGAATGAAGTTGAGGATATTTTTGTGTTTAAGTCATAGTTTTTCTGTGATTTGTTTATATTTTGCAGCGCTTATTTATTGATTTGTCAGTCTTTTTCTTATTGATTTGTAGAGCCTCTGTATATATCGGAGAGAATAGCCATATGTCTGAGATGATGGTTTATAAATATTTCCCCCCAGTTTGTTGGCTTTTGAGTTTGTTTAGTGTTTTCTCTGTGTAGAAAAGTTTCATTTCTGTGTAGTCTGATTAGACTTTTCTTTTATGGCTTTTTAGTTCTGTGTCACCTTAAAAAAAACTTTCCTATTCTGAGATAATAAAAAACAAATGTCTCCCATGTTTTAGTATATTTATTATTTCATTTTTTTAATGTTAAAGTTATAATTTAGCTGGAATTTACTTTAGTATTAAAAAGTTTGAGGTAGAGATTCAACTTTATTTTTTTTTTAACTGGTTAACCCATTGTCATCATTTATTGAGTAATCCTCACTGATTTGAAATGCCCCCTGCATTTCCTTTGAATATCAAACTCTCTCCCTTCATGTTTTAAAAATGTAATTAGGTAAAAACTAGGGTTTACGAACTTTTTAAGGAGCACATTGGCTTCAAGTGAGAGATTTGGCCAAAAAATATTGGGACAGCTGCTAAATATGTTCCCTTATCTGAGGACTTTACCCTACAATTCCTCTATTTGGTACCATCTGTTAGCTGTTTTCTCCCCGTGTTTTCTAAATGTATAGCAAGTATGCATCCGAGCCCCCAGGCCTTGAAAGGCTCATCTCCATAGCAACGGGTGGAAGCATTTTGAGGTGGGACACGTGGAATATTGACAGCCATTTGATGGGCAGATCGATTTGGTTCTGGCTGCTAACAGTGGAAATTAAGGGGAAAAATGTTGAACAGTTTCGTCACTGACATAAAATGGAAAAGCCCTGCCAGTAATAACATTAGCTCATAGATTGGCTGATAGAGAGAGCCAGCAAGAACATAAGCTGGGGCACACTGACTGTATTCTTTGGTCTCCACATTGGCATATGGACTGATATTTTGCAGCAGCAAAAGCAGTCAGGAGTGCTAGGGTCCGGGTGAAGGAAGCAAGGCTGTAATTACCGACAGGGCAGTGGGCAGGTGTTTCTGAGGTGACAGCACAAGCCAGGATTTGAAGAGGAGAGATTATTGTTCATTATCAGAATTCTGCAGGAATCATCTTGACTCTAATTGAATAACTTACTTTTTGATGCATGAAGAAACCCTCAAATTAGGGAGCTAGGGAAATGACGATAAAAGCCCTCACCATTTTTTCCATAACTAAAAGTCTTAGGCTTTTCCCTGTGCCCATAAATCATAGTTTATGAGAATATGTTTGTTTCAAAGCTAAAATGCTACACTATAGAGACAAATTTCAGTTCTGGAACCCTTCTTCCCCAGGCTGCTACCTAGGATGAATGATGAGGGCCAGAAAGTTCTGTTTGATCTTATTTGTGTTTGTTCCTAACTGGCTCCAGGAATCAGCGTGTGTGAAAGTGGTGGCTGCTGCAAGCATGTGGGATGTGTGCATGGAGAAGGGACACAAGGACTTGGAACAGTTCGAGAAGGTGCATCGCTACATCAGTGACCAGCTCTTCACAAACTTTGTAAGTGATTCTTCACACTTTTCCCGGTGGGTCCTCTTCCTGGGGTTCTCTCGGACACCCAGCTCCTGGAAAAGTTAATTCCACAGAGACATGCTCTGTGCAGCAGGAGTCTGGCTATCCTCTAGGATATTTGTAGCAGGATTTTATGTTCAAAACATGACTTTCAATAAGTTAAAAGGACAGGTGGGACCTATATGTATTCATACAAATTTTTTTCATTGCTTGTGATCAGCCTGGTTTCAGGGGACAAAGGAAAACTAGGAAATGTAGTCATGGATCACTGTTGATAACTTTGATCAAAAGAAAACAACTATTGGAATAATAACTTAAAAAGGAATATTTAGGAATTGTTAAGAGGTTAACAAATAGATCTTTGAGGTTGTACAAACTCAATAGTAGATTTTAGTAATAGTTTTGGGGGAGTCAAAAGTTATATATGGATTTTTGACTGTGCAGGAAGTCGGTACCCCTAACCCCTGCATTGTCCAAGAGTCAACTGTATGTGGTACTTGTTTGGTCCCAAGTAGAAAGAAATGGGTGGGGGCTGATAGTGTCTTGGAGATGTCTGAATGGCTTGAAGCTGAAGAAAACATGCACACTCAGGGAACTTATAGGTGTTCTAACATTAGCATTTTAAAAATAACTTAGTAAGTACCTATTTATGGGGTTGGTGGGTTTTTTGTTTTAAAATATGTTTTTATTCCTTTCAGAGAGAGGAAGAGAGAAGGAGAGAGAGACAGAAACATCAATGATGAGAGAAAGTTATTGATCGGCTGCCTCCTGCACACCCCCTACTGGGGATGGAGCCCGCAACCTGGACATGTGCCCTGACCAGGAATCAAACCTTGATCTCCTGGATCATAGGTCGATGCTTAACCGCAGAGCCACACTGGCTGGGCCTATTTATGTTTTTTATGTGTCAATATCCTGCCCTCATTGTCCACTGAAAAGAGAAAAATCCTCTGAAAAATGAAACAGATATTACTTACTACATATGATAAGAAAAGATATTATGGGTGTGAAAAAGTTTCTCCTAGATTTATAACTAAATCATAAGTTAAATTCAAGTTACATAGACATCTGTGCGTAAGAGGTGACACCAGGCCGACCGTCATGTCTGGGTTGTAATACAGGCATCAGATTAACGCATGTAGCTTAGCATTTGTTATCAACTGCGGGGCTAAGGAGGGATTAGCATATTTTGCACACTCTTTGGTGTGTGCACACTGTTGGGGCAGAGTTATAAGTTGAGAAGTTTTTGGAGTATGTACATACATCTGGTATTGGGTAACTAGGACACGTGGAGCTGCACGGGTGTAGCTTGTGCACTAAGAATAAAGCAGGTGGTACAGGACATAACAAAATCAGCCTGAAGAGTATTTTGGGAAGTAACAGATGTGGGCTACTGAGCAACGTGCCTTTCTTGTCCCTACAGAAGGAGAGGACAGAGCGGCTTGTCATCTCCCCCCTCAATCAGTTACTGAGCATGTTTACAGGGCCCCACAAGCTGGTGCAGAAGCGCTTTGACAAGCTGCTGGATTTCTATAACTGCACGGAGCGGGCGGAGAAGCTGAAGGACAAGAAGACTCTGGAGGAGCTGCAGTCGGCCCGGAACAACTACGAGGCCCTGAATGCGCAGCTGCTGGATGAGCTGCCCAAGTTCCACCAGTACGCCCAGGGCCTCTTCACCAACTGCATCCACGGCTACGCCGAGGCCCACTGCGACTTCGTGCGCCAGGCTCTGGAGCAGTTGAAGCCACTGCTTTCAGTGAGTTCCTTTTCCTCCCATGGAGAATTCGTCTCTGAACTTCTGGTGTTTTTCTGGAAATGCACAGTAGGGTTGTTTAAGACATTCTTCAAACTAGGCAGATTAAATATGGCATTAGGTCAAGCCCATTAGGGACTGGAATTCTTGATTCCCTCCCCCCACTGGGGATTGAGCCCACAACCCAGGCATGTGCCCTGACCAAGAATTGAACTGTGATGTCCTGGTTCATGGGTCAATGCTCAACCATTGAGCCACGCCAGCTGGGTGAAACCCGTGGCTTTTAAATGTCTCTCCACCCTGAGCAATGGCCGGAAGAGCCATCCATTGTGCCTGCTGGCAGCTCTGTCCCTGCATTGGGCTGCAGTGTCAGTAGCTTACAGAGTGACCTGCAACTGAACTTTAGCTTCCAGTTGGTTTTAACGGGACTCTGTCAGTCCTAGGATCTTGTAATCGTGTTCTTTTTTCCTCTATCTCTGCTCTTCCCACGGACTCCAGTTACTTAAAGTTGCCGGCAGAGAGGGAAACCTTATTGCCGTCTTCCATGAGGAGCACAGCAGAGTTCTTCAGCAGCTCCAGGTTTTCACCTTCTTCCCAGAGGCTCTCCCAGCTACCAGGAGGCCATTTGAGAGAAAGACTGTGGACCGCCAGTCTGCTCGAAAGCCACTCCTGGGCCTGGTGAGTGGAGAACTAGAGGGGGGACTCATGGCCTAGTTGCTAAGAATGTGAACTCTGGAGCTAGACCACCTGGGTTCAGATCCCGGTAAGGACCCTTAACTCACTATATGTCCTTGAGCAAGTACCTTAACCTCTGTGCCTTGGTTTCTGCATCTCTAAAACACAGATAATAATTATAGTACATCATAGAGTTATTATGAGGTTTAAATGAGTTAATATATGAAAAGCACTTAGAAATTTCTTGGCAATTAGTAAGCACTATGTAAGTAAGCTATTATCATTGTTATTATTTTTAGTATTGATGGGCCCAACTCTGTCTCTACAGATTAGCAATTTAGTAGGAGTTTAAATACTTTATAATAAATGGAGAATAGAGGTTATTGAGGCCTTATCTGTCACGGGCTCATTCATTCATGTGCTCAGTATTACCAAGCATCACCAGTGTGCCTACCAGTACTTGACAGTGACCACCTGTAATTTTCTCACACTTGGTATGTACTGCTAAATGCCCTCTGAAAAGCTTTCTTGGATTTTCATCTATAGAGTGAAAGGAGTTAGTAAAGTGTTAGTACTTTGATCAGTTAATGAAGGGGACTGATTTAAGGGTATGTTAATTCTGCCAGGCCTCCCTATTTTAGAACATGTATTAGAAAGGGTAATTATTTGATTTACTGCCAAACAGTCCATTGCTGACTGCTTTTCTTTTTTACCTAGAGTTATATGTATTTTTAAACTCAATTCCTCCATATTTTGAAAACTGGTAAGATATGCCAGATTATATCAGGTTATGATCTAAAAGACTGAAGACCTGTCTTTGTTTACAATATTTTTGCTCCATATAATCTGATAGACATTAATTTAAATTACCTTAAAAGGGGAATCAAATTTATTATTACTTTGACTTTATCTTATTTTTGTGAATATTGTTTGTTTTTATGGGTGGGGAAGTCAGCATGAGGAAAGTTTCAGTTGTTTAGTTTCATAGAGCAAACTCTAAGAAGACCTAGTAATATTAGCTATTTTGAGTCTTTAGGTGGCTCTTCAGTCACTTTTTTTTTGTCATAGGATAACAGAGTAAAACTGTGTGTTGAATTTTCTTAGTAGCTACAAAGGCACCAAAGCAAGACCTAAGCGATCATGATTTTTACCCAACCATGTGGACAGTCATGCCCAGACACATCTGATAGGAGCAGTGAGCAGCTGGCTGTCATTGCCCCCACTCCTGAGACTCTGGCTGTGTCGGGATTAAATGTGGCTGCTGGGATGATGGCCAGGGAGGGCTTTTGCTGACGGTATTTCTCGTGCGTGCTGCCTTTTAGCCCAGTTACATGCTGCAGTCGGAAGAACTGCGGGCCTCTCTTCTTGTGAGGTATCCCCCAGAGAAACTCTTCCAAGCAGACCGGAACTTCAATGCTGCTCAAGACCTGGACGTGTCACTCCTGGAAGGTGACCTGGTAGGCGTGATCAAGAAAAAGGACCCCATGGGCAGTCAGAACCGCTGGCTGATTGACAACGGAGGTAAGAATGTTGGGCATCAGATGACTGTAATGCTAAAGGAGGAAGAAGTGGTTTGGGCTGTACCCGAATTCCGTCCAGGCCGGGAGAAAACGTGAGAGTCTTTGATTAAAGGGATAAATAACCTTAAAAGTTCTGTCCATCTCGAGAGAGTGTAATGCCCAAGTCATTACTGAAACAAAACCTGTCTTCAGTTTTGGTTTTGTTTTCTACAAATTCTAGAGGAGATTCCATCCCTTCCCTTGCAGGGTCTTGCCCTGTTTCACAGCTCTGCAGGCAGTGGATGCTGCCCGATGGGGCCTGTGCCCTCGCCAACCACAAAATGAGCAGCCTTCTTCCCAGTTCTATAAATGTGTTGTATGACTGTGTGAATATAAAACCTGTAAGACAGGGGTTTTTGATTGCTTTTTGAGCCCCCATTAACAATCATGACTATTTATGGGATGACTTTAAAAACAGCTCATAGCTTTTTTTTTCTGGTACTGCGCATGGGGTAGGGGTAGAGAATTTGAAGAAAAGTGCAAAGAATAATGCTGATCCAGAATCCTTTTCCCATAATTCCAAAATCTGAAAAACTTTGGAAAATCAAAGGGGTTTTTTTTTCTTCCAGAATTTACTTGCCAAAACCTGCCTGATCTGAACTCATTTGGTGGCAAAACCTGAACAAAGTGATTCGAGGCTATTTATAATCGTTGCTTATCCCTTTTGGTGTGAAAAGCCATATATTTTGCTACAGAAACATTAGTGGATTTGAATGTGGGGTATTGGCTCAGACCCTGCTGGGGTATATGTACTTGATTACCTTTCCCAACTCCAGAAATCTAAATTCTAAAGCACGTCTGGTCCTGAGCACTTTAGACATGGATTGTGGTTATATATAATAAATATCTATGCTCACCTTGCTGGAACTGAAAATTTTAACATTTCTCCGTGTCTTTAAAAGTATTTGTCTGGTGTGGTGGCAGGGGAGTGCCACTGGTGGGCCCGGGACAGATGGACTCGTAAAGGTCCAAGCTGTTCAAAGGGCTCGCTCATCCTTGGGGTTTGTATCGACTCAACCCCGATGAGTCAAGTGGTAGCAAGAAGCCCACAGTGTCAGGATTAGCTGTTAGACCCTCTACCCCATGCTACCTGCCCAGGGCCCCTCCCTGTCATCCAGCAGCTAAAACAAATGGGTGCTGGCATTTTTTTTTAGCTATAGGAAACACATGCACGATTGAGACAGGTGGCTTTTGCTCACAGGGGGTCACACACTCGGGGTCCCTGCCTGGACAGAAATTTCTTTCTTAATATTATAAAACATCTTCCTGTGGATGAAGGATCTCAAGTCTCAATTTATGCTTCAGAGTTTTAGCTGAGGGCCCCCTTCTGTCATCTCAGGCAACTTGATCAAGCGCATGCTGTGCGTGTGTGTGTGTTGTAGCGAACGTGAACAGCTTCCCGCTGGACGCCAAGCTCCCAGGTCCCACCGCGCGCCTGAACCAGGCCGCGGACTCGAGTGCGGCGGAGGGAAACGGGGCAGGGGGCACATCTCAGGGTGGTTTTCAGGTTTCTCTTTACCACGCTGTTGTATTTGAACACAGCCTTCGTGAAGTTGGCCCTTAGCCTTTCTTTCCATGCTCCGCATGTCCTGAGAAATTCTCCTTGTGCTCATTCTCCAGCTCGTCCTTTTATTAGTGTCCCCTGACTCTGCACAAGGCGTCCTTACCACTCCTCTGTCCTGAGGTTGCAACGCGGACCAACTGGCAGGCAGTCGCGGTGATTGGTCTCTGCCCACCCACATCGGGTCCTGGCATTGAATGTCCAATCTGTTTTGTCACTGGGCATCTTATTTTGTGTCTCACTATGGACCCAACTTTTAAACCATAGTTTCTTGTCTGCTGATTGCCCATCCCTCCCTCCTGCTAAAAGCTCTTCCTGTCTGCTTTCTCCTGGTAGTCACAAAAGGCTTCGTGTACAGCTCCTTCCTGAAGCCCTACAACGCCCGCCGCAGCCACTCCGACGTCTCTGTGGGCAGCCACTCCTCCACCGAGTCAGAGCACAGCGGATCCTCCCCCAGGGTCCCTCGGCAGAACAGCAACAGCACCTTGACCTTCAACCCCAGCAGCATGGCTGTGTCCTTCACGTCAGGGCCTTGCCACAAACAGCCTCAAGATACATCATCATTAAAGGAACTTGACCAAGGAACTCTCAGTGCTTCCTTCAACATGGGCAGTTCAGAGAGCAGTCCTTCCAGCTGCCCTTCAGAGCCGCACCCCACCTCCCAGCCCAGGCCCTGGGACCCCGCAGGTGTAGCCCAAGACATCGACCAGCCTGCCCCCACCCCAAGGAGCTACCGAAACTCCAGGCATCCAGAAATGGCTGGCTGCTCCGTACCAGGGCGAAACGGGCAGGGCAAAGACCTCGTAAAAGGCTGTACAAGAACAGCCCAGTGCCTGGAAGACAAAAACGAAGAGCCAGGAGGCAGCGAGGCAGAAGGCAACCAGGTGAGTGCTCCCTGCTCATGCGGAACAGGCGGCAGGTGTGTTGTGGGTGCAGGTAATGCTTCTCCAGGAGGGGGGCGAGTCAGAGGCTTGCCAGGGCCTGGCTGTGATCTGGAGATGGGCTCACAGACAAGTGTCATACAGCATACATGGAAACTCACTGCTCTAAGAGTGAGCAACACAGCACCTCCGGGCCCTTTCTGTGGCCGACTCTCCATAGGTATTTCTGAGCCCTTTCTCTGTTTCAAAATTGGGCATTTACAAGGTGTTATGATGAAAACTTTTCCCACTCTTCTAATTCACTAATTCCTGTTGCATGAAGTCTGCTATTTAACCTATTACTTGTTTTTTTATTCAAATACTGTATTTTTAATTCTAGAATTTAGAAGTGAAATTGTGGCTCTGTTTCAGTGTTTCCTGTTCCTTTTGTAATGGCCTGTTGTTGTCTTGGGATTTGAATGTAGCCGTTGTATCTTGAACATTTAAACCTGCATATTTTAAAGCCATGTTCAGGTTCACAGCTGAGGAGTCCCTGGCTCACTGCTTGTTGCCTTTGCTCAGTCTCGCAGCAGTGAGTGGCCATGTCTGTTTTATAACATTTGTCTGAGCTCATCTCCCATGGGGGTTGCCTTTGTTGAGAGATTCAGCCGTGCCCTGGGTTGTGGAAGTGTTTGCCGTTGCCAAGCTCTGGATTCCAAAACATCAGTTTTCGCACCAGCTTCTCAGCTCAGACTTTCCACGCTGCATTCGTCAGCGCTATAGATGAACATAGCGCATGCCTGCTTCTCTCTGGTGATTCTGTTACTACCCACAGTCCAGGAAGGACATCCCAGTTCTGGACCCACCAGCGGGCAGTTTTTCTAGACCTGTTGAGGGAGAACATGGCCCTTTCTTAGCTTCTCACTTTGTCTGAGGAGCTCATTTCTAGCCTCATCAACTCCTGTCCTGACCAGGTCCTCAAACCCCAGCCTCAGGTACGCATTCATCCTTGCGCCCCAGTGGCCTCCTGGCTCCTCCTTCTGATCACTGGGCCCCGCCCTTCCTCTGCATTATATCTTTGTCATTGGCACCTGAAGATCATCCTTTTTAGCTTTATGGTTAGTTGTGTGGGTTTTTTTTAATGGTTTTGAAATTCAGAATTTCTATGTTTAGGGTACGGAAGGGTATCCTGATATCTCATCCATCTTCCGTACTGACTGAAGGTTCCTTCTACCCTGTAAGGCAACTCTCATATGAATTTTGATTTCCTTTGTCTTTGTCTAGTTCGTTATGGTAGCCACCAGCTATCTGTAGCTACCAACGATATAATTTAAGTTAGTTGAAATGAAATAAAATTTAAAAATTAAGTTCCTCTGTCTCACTAGCCGTATTTCAAGTGCCCGATGGCCAGTGTGGCTGGGGCTGCCATGCTGGACGGTGCGGGCGCAGGCCGCGGGTGGAGGCCACCCGCTGCTGCAGGGCGTCTGGACAGCACTCCAGGCAGCGGCCCATGCCTAACTCGCTGTTTCCTCCACACACAGGTCTATTTTGCTGTCTATACCTTCAAAGCGCGGAACCCAAATGAACTGAGTGTGTCAGCCAACCAGAGACTCAAGATCCTGGACTTTAAAGACGTCACAGGAAATACGGAATGGTGGCTGGCCGAGGTTAACGGGAAGAAGGGCTATGTTCCATCCAATTATATTCGCAAAACCGAGTACACCTGAGCCTGTTCTGCTTCCCACTCAGCCTTGCTGCCCTCGCTTCCTTCTGCTGGAGACCCCGGTGGTCCACTGAGGGCACCGGCTCTGGAGACACAGGCCCTGTCCGCATCGCTTAACCGCGCCACTGGAGGCCCAAGATCCGTCTTGTTCCCTTCCATTGGCTTCTCAACCTTGATGCTTACTAGAATTTCTGGACCTGCGGTGAACCCTGGGGCTGGAAAATAATTCCGTGACCATAAGAAGAGCGGCAAGTCCGAGGTCAGCCTATGGGAATGAGAAGTTTCCAGTCAGAAGACCAGCATCCTGTGTATGCTGGGAGCCACACAATAGCATTAGAAGATGTTGGCTTTGGTTGTACCATGCTGAGCTTGGGGTGGCCCCATGCTTCACGATCACCTGACAGAGACCAACATGGATGAAAGAATTCTCCAGAAGCCCTTGGATGCTGTGCCTCAGCCTGTGGCAAGGATTTTGCTGAGATTGTAGCAATTCCGGGGTTTCGAAGCTTCGGTGTCTAACACACATTCACACACATACGAGCACCCCATTTTCTAAAAGTCCTTAAAACACTACCATATGTAACCTTTTTCCTATTTCACTGCATTTCCACATTGGTGATGCAGCATCCGGCTGCTTGCTTTCTCCTTTTGAAAAGTATTTAGCGTCTTTGTTTTCCTCCGACCTTTATCGGAAGGGTTCTGGTTTCTTTAGGTGCAGCCACGTACCCCTTTCTGACAGTCATGTCTACGCTGTCCAGTCAGCGTGTGACACTCCCGCGGCCCTCTGTCCTGCTGCCCAATAACTGGTAGGTTTTCCGAGGACAGTCAGAGCTCCAGCCATTCCGATAGAAGGATTCGCCCTGCAATGAGCCGGAACCAGCCCAGCCTCCTGGAGGAGGGATGCCTTCCTCCACCCAAGCACAGTGCTACCCCCAGATGCAGAAAACTAACGTGTCTTATTTGAATTAGGCTACGCAGTCCCCAAATAGCTTATCCTAGACTTGGATATAAGCGTTTTCTGTTTCACCTCTAACCTCCATGTTTCAGAGACCACAGTCTAAGCCAAAATGATTCTAAAGTGCCTGATTGTCCCTTTGTCCGGCCTCAGGAAGATGTTTGCTAATCCCCACATGAAGACCCTCCCCTGAAAGTTTTATTGGAGCAGGGCTCTTATTTAAGGCCTGCCCCAGATGTGAAGCCTACCTTGGAACAAGAAACTATGAATTTGCCTTAAGGGAATTAAGAACAGCCTTACAGCCCCTGCGCCACCAACTGCACCTTCGGCCTAAATATCCTAATGGGTCAGGAGACACCTGTGGACTCCTGAGCCCCCACTCGCCTGTGGGTCAGTCAGAAGGCAGCAACGCGAGCCTCTTGTGACTAGTGTTTATATTTAGAGATGTTTCTACTGAAGTAGTTATTTTATAAATAAAAGCATTTCTAAGGACCATGAATATGTTTTCTTGATTTCCCTCTATGTGTAGCCTGATCCACCTTCTTAGATTTCTGAGGGTAACTTCCTGACAGTTAAGTGATGCCCAAATCCCAGGAGATGGGAGATGCTAACTGAAGAAATTCAAGTCAAAATTTCCTTGTCAAATATCCTATCAGTGGAATTACTATACGCTCTAAAGATGTCCATGCTGCAGGCGGTTTTTTTTTAATTTTAAGCCATTTTATATTATAAAAGCCTGGCAGAACAGAACTGAATTATCTAAGCTGGAATGCCTAAGAGGTTAGCATTTTTCTGATATTACAGGTTAACAAGGTCACAGGGCAGTAGCTTGGGCAAGATTGGGGGTGGGAGGAGGAGATGCAGCAGGAGCACTGGCAGAGGTGGGCTTCAGGACATCGTGTGGGTGACAAGCAATCGCATGGTATTGCTAAGGGACAGAAATCATGCTTGAATAAGTAGACTCTGTGGGAGAGAAACTTATAGGTCAGCTCATTTTATGGATTAAGAATGAGGTCCAATGACATTGTGACTTGCTCACATCAAGTTTCTGATGATCCTGAATTTAAACTTGGGCCTCAGGCTCTCAAGCTGAGTCTTTAACCTTATTCTGGAGCCAGATTGTCTGACTTCAGACACTTAAGTGCTTCGTACCGTGGCAACTTCTCTAACCCGTGCTTCAGTTTCCTCATCTAGAGTGGAGATAGTGCCACTATCCGTCTCACGGAGTTATTGGAAAGATGGAATGAAGCAATGCACAAGAAGTGCTAGAACATCACCTGACAGTAAACAATAGGTTGGAGAGGTTCAAGTCAAGAATTTAGATTTGATGAGTCTGGTAATAAATTCCTTTAGGTTCTTCAGTGGCTTTACTGTTAGGAATGCTAAATGGCAGCAGGATAGTTTGGAGGGAAGATCAAAGGCAAGAAAAACTAATTATTGGGGGAAGGTAACTGATTTGGTGCAGAAGATGGCTTGAGAATGGAAGAAAGCATCCTATAAAGAATATGAAATTGAAGAAATGATGGACTCACTGGCAAAAGGGAGGTCATTGGATTGGGAGTGAGTGTGAAAAGATGGATTTTGTTTTAAAATGCCAGATGTCTGCTAGGTCTTGCTCCTTCAAGTGTGGTCTTCAGACCAGCAGCGTCACCATCATGAAGACCTGGGGGGTTGCTGGGAATGCAGGCCCCACCTAATCAGGGTCCCCAGGGGGTTAGAGTGTCATTAAAGTTTGAGAAGCATCTGTCCAGGCAATTTTTTTCATGGAATTTTCTACTATCAGAAAAGTAGGAGTTAGCGAAAACCAAGGAAGGAAAAGAGTGTCAGATGGTTCAGGCACAACAGAAGGAAGTGTTATTGAAGCAATTTCCAAGTCCGTTTGCCTGCTTGCTTCCGCTTGAGTTTTCTCCCTTTCCTGTCTGGAAGTAGCTGTTCCGTTGTGTTTTCATTCAGGAGCCCTAGGAGCACGGGGTGGGGGTTGGGAGGGAATCTATCGTCCTCAAGGGGTAGATTTCTGGCCTCAAGATTATTGCGAGAATAAAAAAAGATGATGTCTGCACATTTTTGTGCACTGTGAGCTCTAGAAGTACATGGCTTTAATAAGGATTGAATTTTGTGTCACCCTGTTTTAATTAATTTCAAAGCTGAGACTGTTTATGTGGGTTTGGTTTCAGGGTCGGGAATGTAAACAGGCCCTGGGAGAGCACCACTGTGCTCTCAGTTCTGTGTCACATGCAGGACCTCAGGCTTGAGGACCAAGAAACCCTGAGGTTTATACATAACATTCTAACCCCTCTAGTCACCAAACACTACTCACAGGGTTTTAAATTCTCCCATTATTAGTGTGTCGTGTGGATGCTTTCAGTTTCACCTTTGCTAGTGGGGCAGACACTCAGTGCCACAGAGCAGGTTGATCATCTCCAATCTGAGCCCCTACTTTAGTTCACTGAGCCCGTGGAAGTTTCTTGCAATTGTTAGTGAAGATCAATATTAGCGTTTTGCATGTATCGAGAAGGGAGTTTTCCACAACAAATGGCAGACTTTGCAAGCTCTAGGGCTGTCCATTTCTTACCGCCACTCAGAGGTGAAGGGGTGGACTTAGTGCTTCCCCGGAGGTAAGTTCTGGGGAGTGAGGGCGGGAGGGAGCAAGCACTCTGAGGAGGGCAGCGGCAGTGTGTTCGATCAGGAGAAAGTCATTGGCAGCAGCAGTCACTGTGGGACTCTGCAGCGGCCTCAGCAGGACCATGCCACGAAGCACTGCCTGGCACCACCAGGCATCCCTGGGACACCAGGAGGAGTCAAGTCCCAAGCCTTCCCCATGGCAGCTGCTCCTTGTCCAGGATCAGGGAAGCTGACAGTGAAAGACTCCTGACCTGTCATAGTGTCCTCCAGTCGTAGGAAGCATCATGACTCACTTTAACCAGGGACCTTCCTACAGCCTCTTACATGAGATAAAAAAGAGACTGCCTCCAAATATGACCAAGCTGATAAGACCTTTGCGGTTTGATAGAAGGGTGACAGAAATCCACATTGAAACATGCTTTTAGCTGGGCTGAAAAGATGGCATAACCCTCTGCAAATGCAAACTGCAGCAGGATGCAGTGAAGGTCAGTTGTCATATTGACCTCAGTAGGGAAATATTAGCAATTTTATTGGAGCTATTTGGGCTTATGGTATTGTTTTAGTTTCTTATTGTTGCTGTAACAAATTACCACAAATTTGGGGCCTAAAACAACACAAGTTTATTATCTTACAGTTCTGGAGGGCAGAAGTTCAAAATCTGTTTTGAATGGGCAAAAGTCAAGGTGTCAATAGCACTGGTTCCTTCTGGAGGCTCCAGAGGGGAATCCTTTCCTTTCCTTTTCCAGCTTCTAGAAGCTGCCTGCATTCCTTGGCTTATGGCCTCTCCCTCCATCTTCAAAGCCAGCAGTGTGGCATCTTTGAGTCTCTCTGTTTCTCTTCACATTGTCTTCATTCTAACTCTGACCCTCCTGACTCTCATAAGGATCCTGGTGATTATGTTGGGCCCATCACAATATCCTTACTCACATCTGCAAAGTCCCTTTCACCATGTAAGGTAAAGCCTCATGGGTTTTGAAGATTAGGATGTGGACATCTTTGGGGGCCATTTTGTTTACCCCGGGAATGAAGTCATGATATATTTCAGGCCAGTCGTCTTTTTGAGAATGGAAACGATCCACTTCGGACTATACCAGTGTTTCTGGAGCAGGGACCAGCAACCCTTTCCCGTAAGAGGCCAGCCAGTACGTATTTTAGGCTTTGCAGGCCATTCAGTCTGTCACTACTCCTCAATTCTGCCGTTGTAACTCCAAAGCAAGCATAGATAATACAGAAACAAGTGAGCATGGCTGTGTTCCAAAAAAACACACACACTTTATTTACAAAAACAGCAGGACAGACAGATTTGGCCCTTGAGCCATATCCCTGCTCCAGGTCCAGCTGAAACAAAAGGATTCTGGTCAACCATTAACACTCAAGTCAAGTATGCAGAAAAATTAAACCTTTTGGTGAATGAAAATGAAAGCCTGCCAAAGTGCAATTGGTTTTCAGATAAATGTAAATAAAAATAAAAATGTAATTGGTTAAATGCATCAGGCAAATATTTATGGGACTTGATAATGCAAACCCTGGCAAACGAGATCACAATTTAGCAGCACATGGGTGCTAAGTAAGAAAGGAGCCAGCAGGCAAGGGTGTTAGCACCACGTATGGGAGAGACATCTGTGTCCAGAGGTGCAACAGTGCACAACTCAACCATCTCTACGGAAGGATACCAACAAAGTTGTTGCCCAGAGAGAACAAGTAGCTGTGGGCTTAAGCAGCAGGAAAATGTCCCAAAGACTTGCTGCAAGAGAGCCTGTTGTTGGGAATGCTCAGGAGCAGAATAGCCAACGAAAAGGCTGTCACCGCAAGGACCAAGGTGACTGTGCAAGGGATTATCAATATGACGGCCAAGGCCTTGGTTAGAGCTGAATTAAGGAGCTCTGTATTAGTCCGTTCTTAAAATTCAGTAAGAACCAAACTAGTCTTGTCATTTTTCTTCCTACAGCTCCTGTGTTTCTGCCTATTTTGCCTAAAAGAAATACTGCCTTACATATACTCCTTTAAAAAAATTTTTTTCTACTCTAGCGAGTTGCTTTTTACACTATAAGTTAAATTCTACAGCATAACCAATCACTTGCATATAAAGTAAAAAGGAATCCTATGAAAGTGGGGTGCTTCTCATTCTTTTACACATTTTTACAATTGTTTACTTGTATCTTCAAACAGTATGAAGCCTTTTAAAAAGCAGTTTAGTGTCTAATCTACGTAGAAGACTAAATTCATGCTTATAGCTGAATGTGGTCTTTACTAACTAAGCCTAAATTGTAGAAGTTTGGAGATTTGGATGTCAATGTTCGTACAATATTGTTTGCTCATTTTAAATAAAGGCATTAGTATGCGTTTGTGATTAAACGTATTCTCACCCTACTGCCTCAATGAAACAAATGTCTTCAGACGGTATTTTGAAAGGCACTTATATGAAATGAGCCTGCAAAAAATTGAGGCCTGGTGGGCATTTATTCTTCCTGTTTGTACCAATGTGTCAATGCAGAGCTACTTTGTTTTGTTCAACTCTATTGCTGAGTTCTTGGCATACATTTTTTCCCACTGAATTTTTTTAAAGATCTTTTTTTGAACATTCACAAATATGTAGGTAGTTGCTATATTCTAGCCACTGAAGATAGAAAAAATGAGAAAGAAATTATTCTTATTTTCAAGAGGCTCACAGCTTAGTGAGGGCGACCCAAATAGAGAACCATCTGGCAAAGTAATAAATACAGTAATAGCAAGTTAGCTGGGGACTTAAAAAGTTTTCAAATGATAGTAGGTAGCTCTTGGGAGAGTAAGACAGCCAGCGATGATGCTCAGCATCACACTACAATGTCACTGGACCTTGCTGCTAAAGCTGCTACCCCTGGACAGTAGCTGTGACTG